AGAACAGTTTCTCTGTATTCTTAGAGATGTACAAGCCAGCAGCATATACACCAAACTACCCAAATATGACAGTGTTTTGGAATGAAAAGTTCTTTGTAGAGTTCCATGTTAAAAATGGAGAGAAATCCAGCATATTTTTAGTAAATACTTCTAAAAACCTGATCGTTAGTAATACAGACGATTTCCTTTTATAATATTTGCAACTCTATCTTTGCATTATATAGACACAAAAGCAATACATTTTTTCTCATTTCTTCAAGTATCAATGTCTCATTTACCTTTAGTTTACTATTTCTAACATTCTAAATTCTATATTGGGTTTTTTTCATCCTTTTATTTCAATGTTTCTTATTAACTTAAGATAGCTCTTTTCTTGCTGAAGTCTTCTAGGTTACTTGACTGGTTGCTTCTTTTAGCTCATCTCTAGACGACCGACTTTTAGGAATTTACTTCAATTCCATACTTTATCTTGGAATGTTATTATCTTATGTAACTTTGTTCGAATTTGCAAGGTACTGGTAATAAGACATGTACAGACGATGTTTATTGCTTTGGGAAGGTTTTGCTTGAGTTGGTAACAGGCAAACTGGGAATAAGTGCATCCGGTGATGCCAATCTTGACTTGTTGCAAAGTACACTCCTTCAGATCAATATATATGATAAAGAACCGGTAATAAACATTGTGGATCCATCAGTAATCATAGATGAGGATCTGTTGGAGGAAGTTTGGGCGGTGGCTATTGTTGCTAAATCTTACCTCAATCCGAACCCTTAAAGGCGGTCAGTTATTCGATATGTACTTAAAGCTCTGGAAAATCCTTTAAAGGTGATAAGGGAGTGAAGGACAGGAAGAAATGCTGAGTTCCAAGATGGGAATTTGCTCTATTAACGGCCAAATCTGCAGCTTCAATGAGGAAAAGGGATCGAGGAACTAGTTTTATTGGGTTTACAAAATCTCTCAAGTACCCAGTCAATAATTAGTGAATTAGGAAGGATTCCTTTGTACTGAATAACAAGTTGTGTGTCAATCTTCACGATGGTCATTTTTCTATTCTTTGTTGATAGTTTTAACTATGAAAAACACTCCTTGTACCGG